ACTACCGGGTGAACAGCAACCTACCCATGCACATAGAACAACAAAAGAACAATGTGAACAGCATCCTACCCGGGGACTGAACAGCGAAGTACTACTGGGTGAACAGCAACCTACCCATGCACATAGAACAGCAGAAGACCAATGTGAACAGCATCCTACCTCGGGGACTGAACAGCGAAGTACTACCTGGTGAACAGCAGCCCACCCATGCCCATAGAACAGCAAAAGAACAATGTGAACAGCATCCTACCCGGGGACTGAACAGCAAAGTACTACCGGGTGAACAGCAACCTACCCATGCACATGGAACAACAAAAGAACAATGTGAACAACATCCTACCCGGGGACTGAACAGCGAAGAACTACCGGGTGGACAGCAACCTACCCGTGCACATAGACCAGCCAAAGAACAATGTGAACAGCATCCTACGAGGAGGAAACATCACCGAGGTATCCCGAAGTGAGGCACCACACACACACTCATCAAGGACAGCACAAAGGTGAGATTTGAAGCATCCTATGAGAAGAAAACATCACCGAAGTATCTCGGAGTGGAGCGCCACACACACATTCATTAAGGACGCCATAAAGACGAGATTTGAAGCAGTCTACGAGGAGGAAACATCACCGAAGTATCCCGAAGTGAGGCGCCGCACACACACTCATCTAGGACAGCCTAAAGACAAGATTTGAAGCAATCTATGAAGAAGAAACATCACCGAAGTATCCCGAAGTGAAGCGCCACACACACATCAAGGACAGCATAAAGACAAGATTTGAAGCAATTTATGAGGAGAAAATATCACCGAAGTATCCCGAAGTGAAGCGCCACACACACACTCATCAAGGACAACATAAAGACAAGATTTGAAGCATCTTATAAGGAGGAAACATCACCGAAGTATCGCGAAGTGAAGCGCCACACACACACTCATCAAGGACAGCATAAGTAGAAGATTTGAAGCAATCTATAAAGAGGAAACATCACCGAAGTATCCCGAAGTGAAGCGCCACACACACACTCATCAAGGACAGCATAAAGACAAGATTTGAAGCAATCTATGAGGAGG